TACAGGTGCCCACCACCACGCCTGGCTAATTTTGTATTTTTAGTAGAGACGGGGTTTCACCATGTTGGCCAGGCTGGTCTTGAACTCCTGATCTCCAGTGATCTGCCCGCCTCGGCCTCCCAAAGTGCTGAAATTACAGGCGTGAGCCACCATGCCCAGGCCATCGTTTCTTAATAATAGTATTTTTAAGGGTTATATCAATTTTAAAGGGTTAGTTCGGTTAATACTGAATAATATAATTCCAAATCCATCTACAATTGAAAGAAAAATTGCTATAGATCAAATTATGTAGAAACCAAAATTAAAAAAAAAAAAAAAAGAGTGAAGGGGTGCCATTAATGCCCTCAGATTGTGGATGCTCAGAAAGCCTCAACTATTACACATAACATGTAACACTGTATCATATGGACTGAGTGACTATGTGGGTTCAATCTGCATGCTAAATATTGGGAAATTTTTTTTCTTTTAGATAAAAGTAAACAGAAATAGGAGGTGTGATTTTCTTTTCCTGGACAGAGGTGCATTCGAACCACTTTAGAGGCCAGGTCTGTCAGTCCCACACTGTGCTTGTGCACCAGCCCACACCATCAGCAGCTTCCATCAGGTAAACGGTGTTCCCTTTGTAAAGGGGATCTAAGTCTCATTTGAATTATAGCTGGAAGCTTTTAGCCCTCTGGAAGTCTTGGGATTCTCCAGTCATAATTCTTTTTCTTATTTTTGAGATGGAGTCTCACTCTGTCACCCAGTGGCACAATCTTGGCTCACTGCAACCTCCACCTCCCAGGCTCAAGCAATCCTCCTGCCTCAACCTACCAAGCAGCTGGGACCACAGACATCAACCACCATGCTCAGCTAATTTTTGTATTTTTGGTAGAGATGGGGTTTCACCATGTTGCTCAGGCTGATCTCGAACTCCTGAGCTCAAGCGATTTGCCCGCCCCAGCCTCCCAAAGTGCTGGGATTACAGGCGTGAGCCATGGTGCCTGGCCTCCGGTCATAATTCTGATTCACAAACTGTACAGAACAATTAGGCTGTATATGTACTGTAAATGAACTATTGCATCCATTGTCGACTCAAGTTTTTTCAACTGTTACTATGTATAAAAGGTTTTCTAGATCATTTCTGATGAGAAAGTAAGTCCAATATCATACTGGTGATATTAGAAAATAAACTGGACATTTATCCTTCAGATTGCAAAATTCACTAATTTCATTCCAAAAAATGTTAATGAGTTATTAATGAGATCTGTGGTCTCCAAAAAGGGTTCTGTATACCCAATCACATTTTTATCTTATATTTTATACTTACATCTTTTTTTTTATATTTCCTTTTATTTATTTATATTTACTTTTGGCTGGGCACAGTGGCTTACATCTGTAATCCCAGCAATTGAAGACCAGCCTTGGCAACAAAGCGAGGCCCTGTTTCTTAAAAAAAAAAAAAAAAAAAAAGGTACATATATATTCTGGTGTATCCTAAAAATTGTTTTTGTAGTATATGATTAAAAAAAGAGACTCTTGCCACCATGGGATTAGACTATGGGCATCTGCCTCAACCAGGATAAATGATATTAAAAGAATAAATTTACAGATCGTTACATTTTCAGGGACAATGGTTCTCAACCAGAGGGAGGAAGTGGAGATGGGTGCATATAGAATTATCTTCATATGGCCGGGCGCAGTGGCTCACGCCTATAATCCCAGCACTTTGGGAGGCCGAGGCGGGTGGATTACTGGAGGTCAGGAGTTCAAGACCAGCTGAGCCAACATGGTGAAACCCCACTTTACTAAAAATACAAAATTAGCTGGGTGTGTTGGCGTGCACCTGTAATCCCAGCTACTCAGGAGGCTGAGGCAGGGCGTGGAGGTTGCAGTGAGCCAAGATTGCGCCACTGCATTCCGGCTGGGCAAAAAGAGCAAAACTCCATCTCAAAAAGAAAAAAAAAAGAATTATCTACATATAGCAGCTTCTATCCAGGCCCCTTTATTCTACTCCACCCCATGTGGTTTCAACTATCAGGGAAGAGGCTGTCAATTGGGGGCAGGTGTGTGTGTGTGAGTGTTTGTGTGTGGGTGCAGTGGCTCACGCCTGTAATTCCAACACTTTGGGAGGCCAAGGTAGGAGAATTGCTTGAGGCCAAGAGTTTGAGACCAGCCTGGGCAACATTAGAAAGACCTTATCTCTAAAATTATTTTTTAAAAAAGTAAAAACTTTATAAAGTAAAAAATGAAAGAAACAACCTGCTATCGTTAAAAGTAGACCAAAAAAAAAAAAAA